TTCTTAAGTTTTTGCGGGTACTTACATGTGTGGTATTCAGCTTTGTTCGGGTATTTTCCCACGTCATTATAGTTGTGCTTTTAAAGTTGTAGCAACGTTTCGGCAGAATCTCATCTGCCATCATCAGGCTTCTGTATTGTTCGTCCATATTGTGTTCTCACAGACGAACACAATACAGAAGCCTGGTGATGGCAGATGAGATTCTGCCGAAAGGTTGCTACAACCTTAAAAGCACAACTATAAGGACATGGGAAAATACACAGAATTTCTAGCATTTTTTTTCAAGCAATTTATAAATAAAGGCATTATAATTTACCCTAGGAAGCCTTACTGAATCACTGGACTTTTAGTTCTGATAGGAATTTATTTATTTACTTTTACTTACAAAAATGCTGGTGACTCCCCTGGATTATTGTTTCAGAGATATTTCCTTATCAGTTTTTTCAATGCCTTTAGCAATGGCAGAGCTTCTAATGTATTTGAAAAATTCTTTAAAAATTCAGTGAGGCATTCAAACATGTATCTGCCTTAAAAGTTGCCCATGTTGAACTGTCTAGCACAGTCAAACATCAGGAGTTAACCACAGGAAATGTTTTATAACATTTTGTATCATGTCATAAAATGTTTTATGGTAATTTTTATGTCATAAAATGATTTTTATGTCATAAAATGATTTATAAAATTTGCCAAATTTCAATTCCATGCGTTCTAGATTTTGGAGACATTCTGTAAATCAGCCCCTTTGAAGATGTCTTAGTTCAAAACTTTAATGAGTTAACTCATTAAATTTTGTTAGCTTCACCCCCACCTTAGAAGTTATAATGGATGAGATCCAATATATTTTAACAACAGAATATGATCCATTCTTTGGTCCTCAAAGATGTGTTAGAAATCAGTTATTAGTGTTGCAAGTTAAAAGTAACCAATTTATGTATCAAAGTAAAATAATCATCGAGCTGAGTTCCCTTTCTAGGGTAAAATGAAAGATACATACTGCAGTCTAATGAATTGGTAGTTTGCTGTAAACCAAAGAATGTACCATATTATTATTTGTTTTCCTCTCTTTTCCATTTAGTTCTCAGTTACTGTCAAGTGTGGCAAATCCCAGCAATATTTTATCAATGTTACACGGATATACTCCAACTGGACTTAGTAACTATTGAAACCTTCAAACCTGTCTTATCATCCAAAATTCTAAAAAGTTTAGTGGAGGTAAGATTTAATTATAACATTGAACAGCAAAGAGATGGGTGAATTATTGTGTTCTGCCCAACATAATAGGAGAGATGGGAGCTATATAAATTTGATTAATAAATAACACCAAGTCCTTTCAATTACACTTGCATTTACATGAATTTAAATAGATACATGCTGGTAAATTTCAAACATTTGCATTCTTTAATCCAATGTGGACCTACCGATTTAAAAAAAGAGAAAGTGTGTGGCTGCAGAAGCCAGAATTCTTCAAGAGGATTGAGACTGAATAAAAAGATCAAGTAAAAAGATTGAAGTGAGTGTCCCATGGGAAAGTGGCAGAATCAGCTGGAGACATAAGATTTCCAGCCTGAAGAATGTCATTCTTGGCCACCTTCCAGGTACATCTCAGTACATCCTCCATTATCTGCACACAGCATCCTGAGGCGGGTTGTGGGGGAAAACACCTATTGCAGACCAAAACGCTAAGTCATCCTCAGAAGATTTTTTTAGCTACGGGAGGATAATGGATTACAGGCAGAAATGGTTAGTGACCCATCCTTTCACTGGGCAGTTTGCCCCAAGCCCAACAAGAGTTAGTTTTTCTGAAGTTGACCAAGATCAGTTAAGAGGCTGTTATCTTCCGTGACAATAATTAAGTGCATTATGATTATCTGAATGCTGTTAGATTAAATTTTACTTTATTAAATCAACATGTAATCTTAGATTCATAGCAAGTGAATATGATTGCTAACACTCAAATAACTGACCATGAAAAGAAAAAAGAATTATATTTACTACTTGTGCCAAACAGTCTTCTCCTTATATTTATGGGAGTGCTAACATGCTCACACAAGTGCCTAGGGATATTATTTTTGTCTATTTGCCAACTTCAGAAATAATTTTAAAGACCATTTTGTGGGAGAGCTGTGTGATTTTTGGAGAGTTTGGACTGCCAATAAACATAGCCCTGCTTCAGTTGTGCCTATCCTTATTGGACAGAAATGCAGTGCAGATTGCATCAAATGCAGTTGCATCTGACTAGATCAGTGTTTTTCAAAATTGGCAACTTTAAGATATGTGGACTTCAACTCCCAGAATCCCCCAGCCTGCAAGTTTGAAAAACTCTGCACTAGATATATATAAGAATGAATGCCCAATTAAAATGTTGATGTTTATAGTACCGTGTTTCTCCAACAATACGGCCTCCCCCAGTAGGAAGTCCCAGCATGTTTTATTGGCATTAAATCAAATTAAGCCCCTCCCCCCAAATTAAGGCCTATATTAAACATGAGAAATGGGGGAATGGCGGGGGGACTTGCCGTTAGGAAGCATTTTTGTTGCATTTTGTTGGATATGGTGCTGCCTGCGTTGACTTTGGCATTGGTGGGGCACTTCAAGACCTTCCGCCACCATTGCTTTCCCTCCTCTCCATGCTGCCGCTGTGTTTAGAACAACGCCACGGCATTTGGTGCAGCCACGCACGGCCAACCAGGGCTCCTCCCTGCAACCAGAGCCCGGCGAAGGCACTAGGCTTCAGGTGCTCCTGTCACCGCCTTCCCTTCACCTTCGGAGGCAAAGCCAGTTCTTTTAAAAATGATGCCCTATTATTGGTATGACAAAGCCTCCCCTGCCCGAGAGGGCAGCCCAACCCCACGTGGGGAGGCGAATCTCCCGGGGCCGCAGCACAGGATCGGCCCACCCCGGGAGAAGCGTCCAGCCGCCATCCCTGCCTGGCACCAGGCAGAGCGTGAAGAGCTTCGCCTGGGGTGCCCAGCACAGCTGACAGGTGGGCCCTCCTGCCCGGCAGTGGAGCTCTCACCAAGGCAGCAAGCGCCTCCCCGCCAGGCCCTCTGCTCATCCTGCCAGCGCCGCACCAGAGCTATGCTGGCTGGCCAGAGCCAGGAAAGCAAGCCGCGGGTGCGCGCCCGCCTGCGAAGCGAAAGAGCCAGGCCGACCTGAGCTTGGCTTCCTTCCCAAGTCCCTCTAGCCCAAACCCGAAGGGGTCACCGGGAGAGGCTGCCCGAGGCAGTGATAGCGCCCACCCATCCGTGGACAGGGAGGCAAGGCGACAGCCTGCGCTGCGTCCTTCTCTGAGCTGAGACCCGCAGAGTCAGTCCCTCTGCCCACTGCCCGTGCCGCTGCAGCGTTTGGAGCTGCCGGCACATTTGGAGATGTGTGGGGATGGGGCTGGGCTGGGCGAGGGCTTGAAAGGACGGGCGGCTTTGGGCTTTCTCCGCCAGACCCACCGGCCATGGAAGCAGCGCTGCCAAACGCTGCAGCGTTGCTCTAAATGCCACGGCAGCATGGGAGAAGGGAAAGTAATGGTGGCGGAAGGTCTCCCGATACGAAGTGTCCCACCAACGCCGAGGTCAACATCCAAGCTGTCGCCGCCCGCCCACCCAAGGATGCAAGGGGGGCAATTAAGTCACCCCCGAAAAGACGGCCTAGCTGTTTTTTGGGGGGTCAAAAAAATAAATAAGGCCCGGCCTTATTTTGTGAGAAACATGGTAGATTTAAGAATGTTCAATTTTATGTTCAGTTAAATTATATTTTCTTCTGTTGATGTCTTTATTCAGTAAATTATATAAAAAGATGAAACAAAAACAGTTGATTAGCAAACTGTAGAGCTTTATGTGCTGCATTTCACAAATGCTTCACTTGCAGGTGGTTGGTTTTATATGTAGGTGTTTTATATGGGATTTCCCCCCAACAATTATATAGTGAAACCCTTTCAGATGTTGCTCTAACTTTATTTTTATTTTGTTTTTAACAGGATATTTCAAGAAGCACAGAAATACTGACAAAATTAGTGACACCTACTGACATTCATAACATCTACACTTAAAAATGATTTGTGGTTCTTCAAAATTTGATTAAGTTTCTGTATTTGTAAACTGCAGCTACTTTGGAATGTAGGACTCTTCATAAGTGGGGCATGCTCTATTTTTTGTATCACTGGTCATTTGGGGGAGGGTTAGACTGATTTAAAAAATTAAAATATGACCTTTTTATTTTACACAAGTGGAAAAATATATATTTTTTCTTAAGAATATTTTATGCATTTTGTTTCCTACCCACAAGTTACAACACTGTTACTACTAGACAGATTGCTGCAACGAATTGTGGTAGACTTGAGGGAAAAAAGCAAAGGGGGCAGAACAGTTTTCTTAAAATCAGTGATAACTGCATCACTGGTTTTCTCATGTTTCTTCTCACTAAGCATGGTGAGAGGAAAAATGCACACAGTAGAAACAGCATGAATATTAGAAAGCAGAGAGCTGGCGTTAGATGATCCTGACAGAAAAAAACATTAAGGAAGCTTGAACAAAAGGGATAGGGTTTTGGAAAAATAATTCTTGGGATTGGTGGAAAGAGAAATGATGTAGCTGAAAATACTAATTTTGCAGAGGTTGTAATTACAGTGTATACATTCACAGAAAGAGCAGTTATATTACATAGGTTTTGTTGAGCTTGACAGTGCTCGCTTCTGATTGCAAGGCTCTGACTTTTTTAATACATGCTTAAAAATTTCCACTCAGTTAAACCACAACATTTATCGTAACTGATCAAAAAAAAACACTATTTGCAAACAGGTGTTTAATCCACTACAATGGGTATGAAGCCTGCAAGGTGATTCTACTCAAACACTCTCATTATTGGACACTGCAGTTAAATTAGTAACACGCTTGCTAAGTGAATCTGGTTTCCCCATTGACTTTCCTTGTCAGAAGGTCACAAAAAGAGATCATGTGATCCCAGGATATTCCGACTGTCATAAATATGAGTTCTCAAGCATTTGAGTGTAAATCATGTGACCATGGGGATGCCCCAATGGTCATAAATGTAAAAAATGGTCATCAGTCACTTTTCAGGACCGTTGTAACTTCAGTCACTAAATGAATTGTTGTTAGCCGAGGACTACCTGTATTATTCCATTCACCTTCCCAATATAGATAGAAGAGTAGAATAGATAGAATTTCGAAAAGCGTTGGGAACTTAAACGAACGTAACTTAAATATATTTATTATCCATTTTTCTGTGACTGAAAGTATATGTAGAAATACTGAAACGTTTAAATAATGCAACCATCACAATTGTAAAAAATGCATATTGGATTTTAGCCTTTCACAGTCAGGGAAGGTATCTCTTTTAGAGAGTCCTTGCCTTGCCTGTTTGCGGGACGGTAGCCACCAGATTCTAAGTAATGTATTGTGTGAATTCAGAAAAATACATATCCAGGCATAAGTGGGTATAGATGCTGCACTTACAGGGCCACAATGCTCAGATAGGACAATGCATACTAACAATGGCATTTGAAGCCTCAGTATTTCCCAGAAGCCATCACCTCCATCCTATCTTAAGCTTCATGTATTCCGGTATTGTGTCCCAGGGTGGGATACAAAACAAACACAGTCACAGAAAACAGGTTAAGCCCCTTTTATTCCTTCACTTTGCTTCCAAGCTCCAAATATTCTTGACGGAAGACAAAAAACTCCCACACAAACAGTTACAAGAAGAAGGAAAAAAGCAACACAAACCAGGCAAGATAAGGGATGGATGACATCCACAGATAACACAGACTGGGAAGGACACCAAACTCAGGATATTTCCACGCTTTATTTCCAGCGTTCACCTGTATGCATGTCTGACCTCTTTTTCAGTTGCCACAGCTGCAGCCCATGAAGAGGATCAAGGCCCTCTCCTGAGTAGAATACGTTTCTCCCTTATCCTCCTCCCTGCCCTAGGATGGAGTGGAGATGGCCCTAGGTCCTCCTCTGACTGCTCAGCTGGCCTCTGCCCTTCCCCAGCCCACTCCACAACCTCCGGAGCCACACTTCCACTCCCTGTTGGCTGTTCCACCTCTCCCTCAGAGTCAGTCTCCACCAGGGGCATGGCAGGTATGATCAGATATAGTGACCAGCTATACAGGGGTCTCAAATTGGCAGCCCACGGGCCAGATGTGTTCACATGCAGGCCACGCCCACCCCAGCTCCACAAAGTGAAAAAATGTGATATGTCACATGGTGCCATGAGTTCGACACCTGTGATTTAAAACAAAGGTAGCTGCTCATGAATACTTAAAATTATGCCTTATGGTGCTGCAGAGAATAGTGTTGATACTCCATGTTTTTGTCCATGTTCCTGCTGGCCACACAGCAGAAATCCTGGAAACTTTCTTTTTACCATTACTGTAGCTGAGAAAGGGGTGGACGGTGGGCCATAATGATCAGGATGACCCCTGAATGGCAGACCATGTTGGAGAGTGGGCTCTTCAAGTAGGAGTCCTACTTACATTCACGTGGAGAATGATGAAGCCATCAACTGGCTATATTTGCATAGTGTGATTAATCAAGTTCACCATGGTTTGATATTAACTATGGTTCATAAGCCACCCATAAACAGTTGATTCACTCTGTCTGGATGCATGTAACCTGACTAGTTTATGGTCTAGTGCATGGGTAGGGAAACTTGGCTCTTTTATCACTTATGGACTTCAACTCCCA